GAAGGACGAGCAGACGAGTTCATAGGCTTAAGCCAGGCCTGTCCTTAAAGCTCCGGCCACCCAAACCCCTGATGCCCCCCCCCCCGGTTAGCCTGTCTCTTTCGCCAGCCGGGAGCTGGGCGGTGGGGCTCTGGCCCTCCAGGGCCCCTGGGAAAACCGAGGCAGGCCCTAGCAGTGGCTTGTGGCTTCTTCCCAAATCTCAGTGGAGACACAGCCCCACTCCAGCCACGAGCCACCCACCCACGGGCAAGGCAAGCAGTGTTTGGCATTTTCAGTTATGGTTTTGCAGGTGGGACTTCAGAATTGGCCTCTAAGGGGAACAGGAGAGTAATCATTTGCTGGATGCAGTGCAAGGCTTTGTGTTCCCGCCCCCGCCCCCCGCCCCCCAAACAGAGCAACAGTAGCTCTAACCATTCCCCAGCGGGCAGTTCCTCCTTAAAAGTCATTTCCCAAGCGCTCTTTTCTCTGGACTCTCTTCAGCTGCTCAGAACTGGCCAGTTAGGAGAAGCCAGGAGAGAGGAATCTGGGACCGGGGCCCCTACCCTTTCCCTTGTGGCGGCTCCCCCTGTTTGTAGTCCTCAGCCCCAGGAGTCAGACGGCAGGAAGGTGCCAGGGGCAACCTGGGCGTGGGCTCTGCACGAGGGACCTAAAGGAGCACAGGGGCCTCCCAGGCAGGGTTTTGTCCCAAGAGTGGGCAGCCAGGCTCTGACCCCAGGGCACCGATGGAAACGGCCTCTGGTTGAAGCAGTTTCCCATGCCAGAGAGGTTCTGCACGGGGCCACAGCCTGTTTGGAGAAGTCCCCGTGGACGGGCGCCATTTCCTCCAATGGGGGCCCATCCTTCGATGGAAGCGGGCAGCCAGCTGGGGTCCTGCCAAGACTGGCACCCATAGAGCCAGCTTGTCTTTAGGGAGCTGGGAGGTGTTGGGGGAACAGATCGTTTGGGGAAAGCTTGCGATGCCCTTGGAATAAGGAAAAGCAGCTGCTGCCCTATACGGGCCCATTTGTGCTGATATTCCCTGTGGTTCCCCATCAGAAGTGTTCTGACAGATCAGAGAAGATCAGTGGGGTGGGGGTCAACGGGTGGGGGGCCAGGCTGCTCCGGTCCCAAAGGCCTACATCGATTCCCAACAGCGTGGGGCTGAAATGGGCTCGCGCTTCATTCAGAAAGGTTGCCACTGCCGTGTTGTGCCTTCTGTTGATTGTTTTCTGTGGCCGAGCAGAGCTGGCCGGCTGTGCCCTTCGCTGGGTTTGACTGTCTTTTCAAGTCGTCTTGATGGCAGGGCGTTGTTTGGAGTAGAAGTGCCATATTTGGCATTTTGTGGTGAACTGCTGTGGAATATGCAGAAAACATTGTTGGAATTCAGCTCATCCAAACATTTAAGATCCTTTT